CCGCGAGGAGCACAAGTCCACAAAGGCCATCCGCAAGTCGAAGAAGGACGCCGAGGGCAAGAGTACGACGAACAAGGAGAAGGCTCGCCAGAAGAACTTCCTGATGACGCTGAGCAAGGCGAAGCACAAGAACAAGCGCAGTTTGGTGCAGACGCGCAAGGTGCTTCAGGGACATATCACGAGGAGTAAGGCTGGTGGTAGACGGCGTAACGGCATGTAGAAGGGCTGCTTGGTTTTGGGGTTTGTTCTCGTCTGTTGGGACAACGGCACATTTAATACAAAAGTTAGATCAGCGTACCAAATTCACATCGATCAAAGCGCATTTTTATACTGAGTCCTACATCTGCTGCTCGAACACCTCTCAAACACACTTACCGCTCGTATTGGATTCGCCCATAGCCAGAAGAGTACCTCAAAACTGTCTCCGTTGACGGTGTCCATCCCAGCCTCGCCTGCGTTTCTCATCGTGCCAGCCCGCCTTTCCCACGCGTTGGAATGCATAGAAGCAACCGCTACACATACCAGCTCCCGGCGCGCGCACGTGTTCTTTGCCGCATCCACACATCTGGCTCCCAAACACAGGGCGTTCCGGGCTATCGGGTGGTGTCGGGCTTCTAGGCGGCGAACTACGCCGTCTACGACGGGGAAGCAAAGCGTCGAAGATCGACCGCCGTCGGGGAGGCGGTGTGGGATTTCTAGACGGCGAATGTCGACGTCGCGGAGGCGAAGCGTCATAGATTGAGTGCCGCCGCGAAGGCGGCGATCGAGCCCGGCTTTGACGGCGAGTCTGGGTTTCTCTGTCTCTACCACAAGTCCCGCAAAGCCGGTTGGGCGAGGGATGACATCCCTGGCCGCAGTTGGCGCAGGAGATGGCCTCATACCTGTCCTGGTCACGTCCTCCGTTATACAACTCACGGTAAGCACAGTTCCCGCAGTGAGTCTTACCTGGTTCTGCCCGGGCGCGATCGCAGATGGAGCAGATTCTCTGTTGCGGATAGACGGTTACCGGCTCGTCCATGTTGACGCCGGGGACGTTGGGCCTGCCGTAGTGTGACTGACGGCGCTCCTCGCGGGTGTTCGGAACAGAGGCCTGCTCGGCGGAGATGCACTGGTGGCAACGGCTGCGGCTGTAAGCTGCCCTGTTTCGGTTACATTGTGAGCAGAAGGGGCGGTTATCAGGTCTTGGTGGAAAGAGATTTCCTTCGAAGTGGATGCTCGGCGTGCTGAAGGCTGCGTCTGCGGCGATGCACTCTGCGCAGAAGGTACAGGCAGCGGCTGGACGTGATCGTCCGCAGCGCGCACAAAGGGGTCCTGGTGTTCGCCGGCCATTGTTCGCCTGTTGGTGGGCTCGGGCAGCGATTTCGGCGTTGCGTATATTTTGCTGGCGGCAATTTTCGCAGATAGTCTCGATGGGTTGGCCGTTGGGACCCATACCGTAGAGGCCTAGGGGTGTCCTTCTACATTGAGGACATAGTCTGATGGGGACATACTGAGGGCGGTACATAATCGACTGTGATCTTGGTCTTGGAGGGCTTTCGGAGAGATTGACGGCGAGATCGTGTAGTAAATGGCGAGCCTGCAAGATGTTAGAGCTTACCTGAAGCTGAGAGCGCAATGCTGATATAGTTTGATGATGTTGTGGATGTTTAGTCAGTGAGCTTCTTCAAGGTAGACTGGAATGAGAGACTATATGTACGCGATGCCTAACAGGTTGGTTCATTTCTATCTACCCAGGGCCCTCATAGAACAATCACGTTGTCCTCGAGAAGACACCAGACAACAAACGATGTCAGAGCCCGCATTGTGTCGACCGCCTTTGTTGTTTTGGCAGTTGAGCCTGGGCATCTACCCGGGCTTTGAGCGCAGGGACTGAGCATGCAAAAGGACCCGGATTATTACTTTTGATATGATTCTGTGGTTCTGTGAATAGAAATTGTCTCGGACTGTGATTGGACATTCCTTCGAACATTGTCCACGAGCTCCAACATGGTACCGGCGGGGTTCGGCGATCCAAAATTCCTACGAGCGCGGAAAGGGTTTTGGGTTTCGAAGGATCAGTGAATCAACACTCATGAGCCACGAAAGTCTCGATCCTCCTCATGACGGGTCAAGGGTCAAGGCCCATCCTCGATACCATAATTGTTTGGGTCGTCCGCGAATTTAAAAGGCCTGCTTGCAAAATGTTCTTTCCTCCAAGTTCCATCGTCCACGCTTCGCGCAGACGGCGTCCTTTCTCTTTCAGTCAGAACGATATCAGGATCTGAAATGTTTCGCGAATTGCTGCGTCGTCTTTTTCGCAGGTGTAAGGCTTGCTATCAATCGGACAGCTCAATTTCATCCGCAACGAATCTCATCCCCCCCGAGATCTCCCCGCTCGCAATGCCCACGATTCCGAACGATCTCATAGAGAAATGCCGAGACGATGCGGACTTGAACGAATCACAGCTCTACACGGGCTATTCTCTGTCACACAACGCCAAACGCCGAGATAACATGAAAAGATGCATTTTGTACCGACTTCCCCGCGACGTGCTTCTCATCATCGTCAGCTGTTTAGACTTAGCCGACCTCGGTGTCCTGCGACAAACCTCCCCTCTGTTCCGGCCACTCATTTCGAATATCCCCACAGACGATTCGTGTTGGGAGAAAATGAGAAGAATGGTCACTAAACGCACAGAAAGAGATCGACATGAGTGCCAAAAATGTCGGATTCGGAGAGCAAAGTCCACCGACAAAGCGTGGGACGGTACGGAGTGCCTTCACGCGTACTGCCTCAAGTGCAAAGAACCGCATTACGGACCGTGTTTCTCAACCGGGGGTTTCAGACGACCGCGCAAGTGCATCGGCTGGGAGGGAAAGCTGAGACTGTGTCGCCATGTCTCAGTGTCATTGTTGAAGCCCTTGACTCGGGCACCTGTGGACGTACGGAGGGATGTTACCATCGCCCAGTGCACAAGATGCACCGCAGAACTAAAGTTGGAACCCGGAGAAGAGCCTCCAAAGCTTTTTCGACGGTTCGCGGGGCTTTTCTCGGGAAGAGGGGAATATTATCTGGAGACGGGGTTCAAAGTCAGAGTCTGCACGGTTGATCGAGGACACCTCGTCACCAAAGACCTGCTTCGAGAAAGCCTTCGAAGGTTTTTGGACATGGAAATCTTATGCCGCCACATCGCATCCGACATGGAGGCTCTTCTGGAGCCTTTCCACCACGAAGATTGTGTGTGCTTCAGGCGACTGAGCGCATCATACACCCTAGGTGATGATGAGTCTTTTGACCCTGGATGTCGAAAAGAACAGAGCAGGACGAAGCAGTGTGCCACGGCCAAGGATGCAGCCGAGCACGTCGGCCGCTTCATGCCGGTCACTTCAGACTCCAAACGCCATTTCGCGCTCTGCAAAACATGCCTCAGCTGCTACATTTGGACCACAGAAGGCCGTAGTATTTACCTGTCAAGGCACACGCGGATTGCGCAATTTGAAGACTATCCAAGCGAGACTACCCGGACGATCGCACAGTGCCGGGTCAAGAAGAACTTTTTCAAAAATTCATTGTCACTTCTGATTCCTCATCTGGACCCGCTCACGTATCGAGGAAACTCAACGAGCAGGTCGATGGGCTTTTGCAGTGATCGAGGGTGCAAGAACTATGGGGTAAATAGGCACACAAGATACTTCGCAGAGCCGTTTGGGGTTTTTTACAGCAAGGAACGCCTTCTTGATTATATTGCAAAATGCTAGTAGAGGATGAGAGATCTGATATTCTGAGTCGCTATGAGAATGCAATTCGTTTAGCAGCCTGGGACTGAGAGCTTATTGATAATGCAGAAAAAGAGTGCTTTTTACCTTCAATTGCAGAAAAGGAGTGTTTAAAAAAACCTTAAATCTTCGAACACTATAGACAAAGTACTACTACTGTCATGAGCAATTCTATTACCTACCAAGCGTGGTGGAAGTTGACGCTCGCCAGGTGCGTGCCTTGATGGTGTGTTGCGGGACAGTGGACGTTAAGCAGGGGTTCTCAGCCCTAGTAGCCCAGATCGTCTAGTTGGTTAGGATGATACGTTGTGGTCTCCATCACTCAGCGATACCGTGTTGACGGCGGTTCGAATCCGCCTCTGGGCATATAAACTTTTGCCTTTTTGACCTTCACGTAACGTAGTCTACTTTTCTCTGACATGCGCCACTTTCAACGGCACAGATTCATGCGATGTCGACGTTGAGACCGTTGCTCGCAGAAAACAGCGAGAAAATGCCAAGGTTTTCTATGTGGGGCGCCCGGGATCGTCATCCCGGGCGCGCCACAAGGGCCCTGGACCAGATCACGGCAAGCGACCGATATGCCGAAACTTTAATGACAACGAACCTCATCTGTACTTTTGCTGACGGCGAGCTCTCTCATACATGCGAACTACGATGATTCCAAATTCAAAGCCAGCGTGGCAAGTCTTACAGCCCACCGGCACCTTGGCATCCATCAAATGGAAGCAAACGCCAAACACAATCGCGGCAGCAACGGTGCAAGTTGACGAAATCTGCAGGTTTGGGACATCATTCTTCATTTCAGAACTCTGCGTTCTGGGACTCAGTCTGAGTCCTTCCATGATTTTCAATACCCGCCATGATTGATCCAGATTGATCTAGATTGCATCATAGTCTTGGCCTGGTACCACCTTCCCAGCGCGGAAGACAGAAGCTAGTCGATGCTGTTCAATGCAACCATACACAACGGGTAACGGCAACTGCAAGAAGTAATGCGGAGGAGACAGCTGTCAAAGGCCTTCAGCATGTGAAGAAGACCAAAAAGCCGGCCATCCGAGTAGCATCCAGATTCTCCAACCTTCCCAGCAAGCTGTAGTTTGGTTCAGCTTATCGTCTTGCTGCAAGTAAATCTGTAACAAAGCAATACGCTGCCAAAGATGGCCCTTTTGTCAGGGTGATCCTCTGCAAGAGCAAACAGCTTCCTTTTCCGGGCGCACAGAAGTCCCTCATCGTCTCGCATCTCACTTTCGGCCTGACGGGGCCTTCTTCTTGCCACGACCGCTCTTCACGAGAGGCTTGTCGGCATTGGGGAAGAAAATGTCGTCGTCGTCAAATGTGTAGGCAGGCGGCGTGGGGGTCGTAGTCTGAGGCTGGACGCTGCGGTTCGGCGGGGTCTTCGGGATGCCGTGATGATCAACAGCGACGCCAGCTGCGTTAGGCGCAGACGCGGACCGGGAAGGTGGCTTGTCGAACGAGCCGCCGAGGGCATTCGAGACGCGACGCTTCTTGGGCACATGTATCTGGTCGGAGCCGCTCGTCGGGGGCGTGTGGGCTGGATCTTCACTGTCAGAACGGAGGACCAGGCCATGATGAGAAGGAGGGATTCGAAGGGGGCCGCAGGAGGTCGATGAGGCTCAGCCGGAACGGGCAGGAACGCGAACGCGATGAGACGCGGGCGGCAGATGTGAGATGAAGTGGATGGGTGGGCAACGTCGGAGTGGTGTGCGGACTGCAGAGGGGACTGGAGATCATACCGTGGGCGCGTGCGGCCATCAACTTTGCAGCCTCGGCGGCTTTGGCCTGGTGGTAGACCAGCTCGACTGCAGATTCGGATGTTAGCGATCTCCTGCCGCTGTGAGAAGGTGGGATCTTAGGGGGAGATCCCGATGTGAGTGGGGAGTGGTGGGGGATATGCGCGCGGGTGTCTCTGTGTGGGTGTGGGTGGATGGCGATATCGTGGGGGAGCGGCGTTGCGTGTCTTGACGACGTACCTTGGTGCTGAACGGGAGGCGAGTAAGCGGAAGGTGCCACCGGTGGCATAATCGCGACAGGAGTGAAGGATCTTGCGGATGGATTCAGATTCGGCTGCTGCTGGAGAGACGGATTGGGCGGAGGAATGGCACCGCTGCCGGAGCTTGATGGGCGAGGTTTCATTTTGCCACGACGTCGTCGGCGATGGTCCATCTGTCAGATGGTTGGCGTAGCTATTGGACTGTGGTCGCAAGTCTACATTGATGCTTTTGGAGGTGGGAAAAATCAGCATATTGTCCTGGTGGAGAGGTCGCTGCCTGAATGAGGTTTGTTTTGATCAAAGCTCAGATCGCAGAAGCGTATTCGCAGTATTCCATTGTTCCGCAATTTGAGCAAAGCTGCTGGACAAGACTGGAAGGAGCCAGTGTTATCTTTGAAGAATGAACAAAGGCGCTGACATTCACTCAGCTTCCAAAGCGGGAAATAGAAACTCTGAAAAGGTCTCCTTTCTGCATCGTCGACTGTTGATCATTGAAAGCCTTTGAAGTATTTTTAAAGTATCGAATTCGATGGGTTCTATTTCTGAGGAATCTGATTCCATGTAATATGCAAGCACTCGCGAAAAGTCCATTCTCGAGCATTTTGCTTCATATCTTGGTAACTCGTAGAACAAAATAATTGAAGAAATACACCTCTAGGCAAATACGTCAAGGGCATACCTTTCCCATGTTGTCAGATGTCAAATCTTGAATCATAAGCATCACTCAGAGTTTTGATTTATTACAGAAGATTTACTAATCATAATTGTGAGCTCATGGAGGAAATCCAGAAGAGTCATGATAATCGTTCTGCAGGCTGTTGAGGATTGGACTACTCTGTAGCTTTCCACGGCACATTGAAATTGCTCCCAAAAATCAAGTCCGGAATGTGGGAGAACCTTCCTTCAATCTTGAACTGGGCCTCACAGAGCTTACACGTTCTACACTAAGAAGACAGAAACTGTGAATGGGACCTACCGCAGGAAACTCGACAGCCATCATCCTCAAGGATGCCATCAGAATCCCAAACTCCTTTCTGTAATGATGGGAATGTCTTGTTGTCTGTTATTTTGCCAAGACATTCTGCCAAGAAGAGAGATGGGATCACGGCAAGATGATCCTCTCCCGAACGGAGATATCATCGGTTTCCGTCACGCCTCCTCAAAAGCCAGGTGATATCGTCTTGTCATGTCAATGCAGGAATGGAGACTGCAAATATGCCTTGCATCCCTCAACACCTCAATATTTCCTGCATGCGCGCGTGGACGTGGAACTGGAAGTTGCTCCCAGCCACCTCTGTTGTTATTCCGACATCGGTTGGCGGTCGCAGCAGACCAGGGGGTGGGATGAGAAAAGAAAAGCGACGTCACAAGGGGACCTTTTTGCGCAAGTTCGAAAATGACTCGGAACAAGAAAGCAAATCGTCTGTCGACGAGATCCGCAGAAAAAAAAAAGAAGAAAGGAAAAACAAACAAAGCTGGCCGCGAAGTTGACCAAGTTACCTACCAAGAAGAAAGCTGCAGATGAGATGCAACTCTGTTCGAGATGCAGTCCCAAGCGCAGCATTCCAGACCACTACATGCACCTTGCAGCTACCTTGACAACCCAGGAGGAACCTTGAGAGAAGACAGGAGCTGCGAGGAAACACAACCCGCAGCGAGGCCACCCCACACCAGCTCCGTGGGACCCCACCGCGGTCGGGACTCCGATGCAGAATGGACGGCGCAAACGGCTCGGAGGAGATGGCTCGTTGCGGCAACTGCGAGGTGATCGTCCGCATTGCGTTCTTTTCGTCTGGATGCGACCCCTCTGGAGTCTGGAGATGTGGTGATGACTGGCGGAAAGAAGAAAAAAAACGTTGAAACGTCTTCGCGAAAACCGGTTGGAGGAGAATGAGATCGCAGCCCGCGCGCCGCGCGCGCACATGTCGGTTACATGCCTAGATGCTGGCAAACGGTTGTTCTGGTTGTCCCTTCAATTTTTTTGCTTCTTCTCTTTACATCAGCATCTGTCATCTTCATCACCTTGGCAAAGATGCTGCCAAAATGCAAGCCGAGACGTTGGCTATTCCTTGCATGTGACGTTTGTCGAATTTAGGCGCGACAGATCCGCGTCTTTCGGTGGTGTGCTTCCCTTTCCTCTTCTGTGCCGCGCCGGCAAGTCTGGTCTCTTGTCCTGGGCCTCTAGAAACGGCCGCCTTGTTGTCGTTGGGGGACCTTCGCTTCGGCTGAGTGACGTGAGGTTGCAGCGGCAGCAAAGAAGTTCCGAACTGGGAATGGCCCTTCGACCCCGGGATGTTGTAGCGTAAACGGAATCGAGATGTCCGCGTCTAAATCGTTTCCCCCCACGGACGGTCGGCCCCATGGGTTACACCGACCGGGTCTGCGTCCGGTATCAGGAACGAAGAGTAATGCTGCTCTCACTCCCTCTCTCGAGGTAAACAAAAAAATTGCACAAGGGGAGCTTCCAAACAAGCTTGATCAGGCGCGGATCGCGGGGGCAGAAAATCACACCACTCGAGCCCACCCCATGCAGATTGATTAGATTGCGTTGCAGCCCCCCCATCTCGATCTGGACCTTCGGGGGGATCCTCCACATGGCGTAGGATTGGTGCATTGGGTAGCTCTAGTAAGCTCTTCGTAAACGGCGAGCTCGTCGGTCATAGGACCAGAGTCGAGGGAACCTGCAGACGCGAAGGTGGTTTCGTTCCAAGGAAGCTGCCTTGAAAATGGCTCTCTGACGATCCTCCGAGTCGATCCCGAGGTGCCCGTCGTGGGCCGCGTCCCGCCTCGTCGCGCCAAATAACAGAGCAAGCAGGTTGATACAGAAACTCCAAACGAGGTACCAGTTTTCGTCCGCGCGATCTTCTGAACTGGCCGATCACAGTGGGATTCTCTACGGTCGTATGCCGGTAGCCAGCAAGCGATGGCACGCTGCGTCTCATTTTTTGCGGGCTCGTATTCCGGCGGGCAGACGGTCCAGGCTCGGCCGAGAAGGTGGTTAATTGCGACAACCACCAACGGGCTCGTCTGGTCTCCGCCCACCGGCAGTGACGGTATCCACTCCGCTGGCCGGGGCCGTCGATGGCAGAGTGCGTTGTGTCGATGTCATTTGTGGACTTGCTGTGACGACAGACGGACAGACCCTTCAAGGTCGCAAAGAAGGTTTGTGAAAGTGCCTGCATGAAGCACACAACTAGGTTCCACGTTTTTCCGGGGCGGGGAGGGCGCACAGGGACCAGAACTGCATGATATCCCGTCCGGACTTGCAGATTCGACGACGGAGCCATTGCGGGTGTGAGGGGGCGGAACGTTGTAGCTTGTGGTCGAGGCTGGTTGATGTGCAAGGCGCTGTCCAAGTTTCCTGTTTGAGAGGTCAACGGCCAGGTTCAACCCGTGGTCGGACAAGGACATGGCTTTCTCACGGCGCCGCCTGCATGACCTTCTCAACGGGGAAGGAGGCGTTTTCATGTGTCAATCAACGGCCTGCGGTGTAGGCGTGTGGATCTGGAGGGCCGATCGTGATGGGAGGATTCGCGCGGCGAACCCTGGTGGTTGATGCAACTCAAGACGGCTGTACGTTGAGAGATTTTCATGTCTCTTGCATCCGGTCTCGATGCATTCGTCCCTGACGCATTCGGAAGGTTACCGGCGATGTGTCGACGAGGGAAGGGCGAGAAATTGTCTCAAGGAGGGAAGGTTGGGCGACGGTGGCCCAAGGAGGTCTGTCAAGATATTTAAAGTCGTGAGGGACCGCCGATGTTGGATGACTCTACCCGGACCACAGGAGCATTTACTCCCTCGAATCAGTGAGGATTTGGAATAGTCGACATCATCATTTGGAATTCATTTGGAATTTATCCCTGCCCCGTTGCTCTTTTGTTGCTATTTTAGTAGCCACGCAGCCAGCAGACATGCAGAACCAAGTGGCCAAAGACTCGGCATCAACTCCGGTTGGGCCGCCTCCCCTCTTCTTCACCAAAGGACCACGAATCACAGCAAACTATCCCACTGTCACCGCCGCCTTCTATCATCATGCAGAGACTCAGCCTGATGTCACTGCAGGCCGCGACCTGACGGCACCCCAGATTCGAGAGATCACATACGGCGAGCTCGCTCGTCGAGCCAACCAGCTCTCCAGGAAACTGACCAAGCTTGGCGTCAGACCCGGAGATCGTGTCCCGCTTGTGGTAAAGCGAGGCATTGACATGTTGGTTGGCATCGTTGCGATCCTGTCTTGTGGAGCGCAGTATGTGCCCCTCGATGGGGGCGTGGTTCCCGACTCTACGCTCCGCTTCGTCCTCGAGCAGGCGGGAGGCAAGCACGTCCTCTGCCTTAACTCGACAAAATATCGCTTCGAGACCCTCGGGGTCCCTTGTGAGACCTTGGTGATTGACGAAGAGCGGGAGAAGGATCCCGAGCATGCGCAAATCCTGCCCTATCAGGACTTAGCTGAGACACACCACGGCTGCTATGTGATCTACACTTCAGGTGCGCGATCTGGCCAGCTGCCAATTAGACACCATGGTACGATTACTGACGAATTGTCTTTACAGGAACTACGGGTACTCCGAAAGGGGTGGATGTCACCCACAAGAACGTGACTAACCTGGTGTGCCTGTCGCCCGGGAATCTGAGTATCTCGGCTGGTACCAGAGTGGGCCAGGTACTGAATATCAGTTTCGACATGGGTAAGTTGCCAAAAAGAAAAGCCCGTCTCACAAAAACCAACTTTGCTGATTAGTTTGAAAGCGGCGTGGGAGATGCTAGGTTGCCTCTGCAACGGCGGAACCCTGGTTCTTCGAGGCTCAAAATGGGAACCCTGCATCCGCGAGGTACGAAGAAAAACGCCACAGATTTCTCTCACAAAGATCAGCGCAGCTGACTCGAGCTGATCCCCAGATCCAAGTTCTGATCTGCACACCCAGCATCTTGGCCAAGTACGATCCCCGGGAATATTCCAACATCCGGGTTGCTGCGACCGCCGGCGAACCTAGTTCCCAGAGGTAAGTCAAACGCCACAAAATTCTACCTTATTGAGAGTTCGCTGATTTGGTTTTGCTTTAGACTTGCCGATCTTTGGGGAGCTCACGCAAAGTACTACAACTGCTGTGGTCCTACCGAGACAACGATTGTCAACACCATG